GAGAGAGAGAGAGACACAGTTTGAGAGTTAGTGAGACGGTGGATTAACAATCCATGTTGATCACCAAACACACAGTGTTCCAGAGATTGTCCCGAGACAGCGAGAGACAGAACAAGCTGGGAATTCATACACTACCCTCCTCAAAGTGTTCATTCCCACCTGGAGAGAGACTGAGCAGGTCACTGAAACACTCACAGCACAGAAACACTCGATTAGAGTGAGACTGTAATAATCCTGAGTGTGATCAGTTTGACAGTGAGATCACTGAGTGTGTTGCAATGTAATCATTGAAAGGGAATGGCCTGTGGTATTATCGCTCGGATATTATTCCAGAAATCCAGGTCACATTCCTGCAGATCAGGTTCAAATTCCTACATGAGAGATGTTGGATACTATTTCCATATGTCAGATTCCTGATCTGAGTTTATTACCCTGAATTCCATCATTAACTAACAGAACCACACCTCCATCATCTCCAAATGTCTCTATCCTTCGAGATTCCTGTCCCAATATGAGGCTCGGGAATGCCTATCAGACAATATGTATTCATTTCTATTTGTCCCCTCAGTTTAACCTTTCTGGTTCAAATGCTGCATGAACTCAGATACACAGCCTTCAGTTTTATCCTGTTACACTCTGTGCAAATTCTCACCTGTTTGTTAAATCTTCCAGTCAGACTCACTATCGCTTCCTGTCACAATCTGTTCATCATTTTTCGCATTAATACCCCTTCTTTTTCTTTGGCCTTGATGCTGTGACTTAATACACATTCCCAGATTTGATCCTTTGCCCTCGATATTCTGTTTACAATCTTCTCAGCTTCCCTGGTTACGGTGTTGGTAGGATCCCCAGCCCTAGTACAGTTCAGCTGGAGACCATCCCATTGCTCCCGATCCCAGTGCCCCCCTGGAACATTGCTAATGCCTCACTGTCAGACCCATTCTGACCCCCACCCCAGGTGTCTCTGAGCCACAGCTTACTCCCTGTAATCTGATTCACTTGTTGTTGATTTGCCTGTGGCTCTGGGAATAATGCCGAGGTGATGCCCTGTCCAGCTTTGGGTAATGTCCCGAACCCTGGCACTGGGCAGGCAGC